ATGGCCTTCCACTGGACCCGGAGACCTCCTGACATAAAGCTCTTTCTTAGGCACCGAGGATTGTGTAGACGTGTTTGTGGCAGGCTGGGTTGGTGTGGGTGCGCAGTGCTTCTCTAGCCAACCCAGCCCAACACAATGGCTATCATCCCAGCTTACAGATGAGCACACCTGTACAGAGGAGTTACACATCCTGCCCAAGGGTTTGTACCAGGGGAAACTTCAGCCATTCTAGGTTGGGGGGAAGCAAGACTTTCCTCCCAGAAGAGCCTCCAAAGGAAGAAGCTCATCGCTGAGTACACAGCGTCACAGCTGCTCTCGGCGTGTGGGTTTGCTCTGCTTCGCGGTGCCCTCCACAGCCGGCTCTCATTCCTGGGCCACTGCATCCCAGAGTGTTGGCCCCCAGGTCTCAGGGAGAGCCCGTCTCTTATCACAGTCAAGTCCCCAGTGAAGCCCCGGTGCCTGGGTCAGACTGAGAGGTGGGGCAGAGGGACAGGGTAAAATAAAGCTCACCTCGGAGGCTCCTTGCGAAGTTCAAGACCGGAAAGTTGAAGAAACCATCATTCAACAAGTCCAGAAAAGCATCACGTTTGGCCCCTGGGTCCCAGCTGTTGCCCACGTATTCATCTATGGTGGTGCGCATCAGCTCTGGGGGGATGTCCTGGGGCAGGAGGCCAGGCAAAGGTGTGTTAGGGGCCCAGGCTTATGAAAGACCCTCCTGAGAAAACCCATCCTTCCTGCCTGGCCTCCATGTCCCAGCGTGTCTCTGTGCACCTGTTCTTTCTGTCACTGGAGCTTCTAGGGGAGCTGTTGGAATGAGGAGCTCATGTTCAGAGTCAAAGACCAGTGCGGTGACCAGTATGCCAGTGTTCAGCTTGCGAATGGCCCCAGGGCCATCTAACTCCACATCTGACCACGTGACCTCTACAGAGCTTGTTCAAGGCCTATCTTGGCCCTTTACCCTCTTCCCCACCAGGGTACGTTAAGCTTCAGCTTCCTCCTCTGTATGATGGGCGTAATGACGTTCCCCCCTTCAGAGCCTTGTCCCGAGGATTGAAGGAGATAAAGTACTTATTCTAAGGCTCAGCACAGGGCTGGGACCTAGAAGGCGCCCTTTAAGTGGCCATCTCTCTAATATGATGACGACGATGATAACAATATTCCCATGAGGATCCAGTTTGAATTTGTATCTAGAAGATTCCTGGAGGGAACTGAAATTCAGCATTGGGACCAAGGACTTGGTGGTAGGTGGGCAGTGGTGGGTGTTGGAAGATAGGGGCAGTGACCATGCTGGGCGGGACACCCCTGGCCTCCTCCTCCCCCCTGGCATCTGTCTCACCATATTGGCCAGTAGAGGTCTCAAGGTTGTCAGCATGTCCTCTGGGCTCATCTGCTCAAGCTGATCCAGGATACCCCAGGCCTGCAGGGACACCAAGTCTGTCTCAGTGCAAACTGACCACTGTGCCCCAGCCGAGCCCCAGCCAGGTGAGCACACAGAGCCCTGTGTCCACACACTAGAATGGCCAAACCCACAGCCCACCAGGATGAACCCCAACCCAGAATGGACATAGCAATCAATTAACCCAAAGACAGAGAGAGGGGAAAGAGCACTAAATAGAACAGACAACTAATTAACACACAGAGAGGTAACCAGGGAAAGGGACAGAGAGATCATTTCCCCCGACATTTTCATAGAACATCAAGATCCCCAAAACCAACCACACAAGGGCTACAGGAAAGACCGATCACACAAAATATTTTTATAGGACCCCAGTTTTAAGAGAATAGACTCCAGAGTCTGACTGCCTGCGTTCAAATCCCAGCTCTGATACTTACTGAGTATATGATCTGGGACCAGTTACTTATATTTTCTGTGCCTCAGTTTACTAATATGTAGAAGAAGGATGCAAATAAATATCTGCTTCTCAGCCCTGTTGGGAGGATTAAGTGAGTGAACACACCCAGAGGCCCCGGCCTGGAGCAATCACTACTGGCCTAGAACCTATTCAGTCACACTTCAACCCCTCAACCAGAACAAGACAAACAACCTCACTAAACCATGGGCAGAAGTCACCCATGAGAAGACACTTCTCCCAGGAAGACATCCAGGAGGCCAAGGAACATGTGAAAACCAGGCCGGCCATCATTAGCCAGTGGAGAGATGTGACCCAACACCGCAATGAGACACCTCTCACTGCAGCACGAAGAGGGTAGTTTTAAAAAACAGACAAGAACACATGTGGAGAGATGAGATACCCCATCCTCTCCATGATACCATTGTAAAATGGTACAACTACTGTGGAAAATGGTGTGGCCCTTCTTTAAAAATATTGAAAATAGGAATACCGTATGACCCAGCATTCCTTCTCCTTCATATTTATCTGAGAGAAAGAAGAGGCATGATACAAAGATATACTTGCACACTCATGTTCATTGCAGCACTAGTCATAGTAGCACCAAGATGTAAAATGCCTCCATGGCCATCAATGGCTGAATGGGTCAACATGCTGTGGTTCACCCACTTCGTGGAATACTATGCAACACCGAACAATGACCATGAATGCACAAAATATCTCACAACCTAGAGGACCCAGGGGGTCAGTATGCTAAATGAAACAAGGCAGTCACAAAAGAACAAACATCCTATGAGAAAACGTAAGGGAACGTGGTCACACTAAACTAAATGTTCTTTGATGATTACTGGGGGGGGGTGGGGGAGTGGGGGGAGGAAGGGACAGTAAATTACTACCTGAAGGGTAAGCATGTGTTAACTTGGGAGAAGGAGAAAGCAATACGCGTGAAGCAAAAAGTGGTGTGAGCAGAGGAAGACACAGGAGGGACTACAAAGGTCCAAGAAAACAGGTCAATACTGTTATATTCTGCAATGATGCTGAGTGATGGCTGGCTGCGTAGATAGACGCCCTAAGTGAAACGCCTGTAGGAAGGACAGTGGGACTAAAGCCACGGATAGATGTGGATTTAACAGAGCCTATCTTCACATGGGTATCTCCCTATGCTACACATACATCCAAGAATGTGATAGAGTATACAAGGGGCAAAATGATGAAAAATTCTTAGACATTGCCCAACCTTGAAGGAACGAGTCCTGGGGCCTGGGGCCTCAAGACCATGACCTTGGGAAGGTCAAGGTCAGTTGGCATAGCATGGTCCACAAGACAATGTCTTTAACATCCTACTTTGGTAAGTGCCCCCTAGGCCTTCAAAACTTGTGAGTGGCTATCTAAGGTGCAACTATTGGTCTCTCCCGGCACAGAAGAATGAAGAGTACAGAAATCCAAAGACACATGCCAACAATTAAGCCCATGGACTAATGGACTTGAGGAAATCATTGCCCATGACCCTGAGAGCAGAAGAACTAGATCTGCCAATGGTCACTACCAGCTCCTCTGAAAGGGATCACATCGTGTTTGGGGCAAGAAGTCAAATACAAAAAGGCATGTACTGTATGATTTCGTTTGGATGACGTGTCCATCATGAGCCAATCCACAGAGACAATGTCGACGAGTGGATGCCAAGGGATAAGAAGGAATGACTGCTCATGGGTAAGGGGTTTCCTTCTAGAATGATAAATATTCTGGAGTAGATAGTGATGATACGAACAAATGTGGATAGTGTACATAATTTGTCACTGGGGACTAACCCTAAGGTTGGTGGGGCAAACCCACCCAGTTTGAAAAAAAGGTCTAGTGATTTGCTGCTAGGAAGGTGCTGCCAGAAAGGAAAACCCCACTGGACAGTTCTACCAGTGAGTCCAGGGCCATGAAGGGCACAGGGGTCGGAGGACACTCACCCTAGGGAGAAGCCAGCTCATCTCATGATTGGTGACGCCCAGGAGGCAGGGCACCCGCCGGAACTGCTTTTCTGCCAGGAGCTCCTTGGGGCTCTTGGGAAAGAAGGTGCCATCCACAGCGTTGGGAAGGAAGTTCATTTTCTGCAGGAGAAAGCAAGGCAGGGCCACCAAGTCAGACCCAAGTGGGAGCCAGGGGTTCTGCTCTGCTCTGCTCTGGAACACGGGCTGCCCCTCAGGGCAGCCATGGCCCTCCGCTGGCCCCTGCTCTAGCTGGGCTTTCACCTCCTTCGCCCCTTAGGGGCTGACCCAGGGCTCACCCCAGAGCCTAACTGCTCCTCTGTTCCCATAGGAACAAGACTTGACCCCTCTGAGCCTTGGCCCACCACGGTCCCCAAAGAGGCAGGTGTACCTTCTGGGACTCCTTGGTAAGGACCATGTCTTCACCTGTCTTCAGCCGGAGGCACTGCAACATCTCGGCGCTGGAACTGGAGCTGCAGGCCACGGAGTCTGCGAAGGCCTGGGGGCAGCCCACGGGGTCCTCTTTCCTCAGCCATCCACCCGCCTCCACCTGCCTGCCCTCTGTGGCTGCACTAGCTGTCCCCCTGAACTCCCACGGTCCCTGTGTTGTCTCCATGCTAGTGGTCTGGCTCTGTCCACAGGGAGTCCCTCGGGAACCCTGGAGCCGAGGGGGCAGGTACTGTGTTAGGTAGGTTTACTGTGCCAACCTGGCTAATAGGAACATGTGGGATTAATCGGGTCACAGTTTGATTGCAGGGCAAAGAGATAAATGGCTCGGCAAGGCCCTCATCTCACTCGCTTGCTTTCTGGCGGTCTGACCAGCATGCACCTGTGTTAGCTAGTTCTCTGCCTTGGCGTGTGAGCTACACTACCTGCAGGACAAGCCAACCTGAGGATCGTGTCCCTAGAGCTTGACGTTCCTTCGAGACCTGCTTTACCACGCAGCTGGTGTGTACATGGCTCAAGCTTGAGGCTGGTGGAGCCTGTCGTCTTGTATTGCTTGAGTTCGATATCCCATCCTGGCCTGCTTCAATTAGATCCTGGGCTGCTGACTGTTGGGGACCTGCTCTGCTGTTTGCTGCCTATGGGCAGACTCTGCCTGCATTGCCCGAAGGAAGACTCAGCTGTCTGCCTCCCTGACCTCAGACCAGGCAACCCTTGTGAGTTGAAGGACTTCCAGTATGTTAATTGCTCCACGGGAGTGAGTTGAACTGAGCCCTCTGTATTGCTGTGTGGACTTTTATATTCCTATGTGCTGTATAAGTCTATCTATCTATAATCATAAGTGCCCTGGCATTGTTTCTCTAGAGAACCCTGGCTAACACAGGTACTAGAGGGGGGAGAGTGATGAGGACACTGACCTGAGCCAGGGACAGCGGGTTGGGATTCAGGAACCCTGGGATGGTGATGACTCCACTCTGAGCGATGGCTCTGTGGAACAGCCCCTGAGCCAGCGGGGACAGGACCTGGGGAGGCAGGGAGGACAGAGAGTGACCAAGGGGACAGGGGCTCCCAGCCCTCACCCCACGCTGAGTGCACACTCACCAGTGCAGAAACAATCATGGCACCTGCAGACCCTCCAAAGATGGTGACACAGTTGGGGTCGCCCCCGAAAGGGGAGATGTTCCCCTGCACCCAGCGCAGTGCAGCCACCACATCCAGGAAGCCCCAGTTGCCTGGGGCGTGGCTGTCCCCAGTGCTGGTGGTAAGGTAGAGTAATGGTCAGACCTGGCAGCCTTCCCTGGCAGACACCCTTTCCAGGATTGCTCTGGATCAGCACCCAGGACACCTGGTCCCTTCTGCTCCTGGGGCTGGCCGGGCTCTCAACCATGGTGGGTACACCACAGAGGGTGCTGGCCGGCTGGCTGGTCAGGCAGCCAGCACAGGTTTGCAGGGGGCTGCTCTCTGTGCCAATCCACCCTGGAACCCTGATCCACCCCAGGAGAACAACTTGTGCCCAATGGACCAAGGTCATGATCAACACTATTGGCTGGCTTCCTTCCCAGGGTGAGGCCTCAGAGAACACCCTCCTCTGCCCAGATAACAAGGGACACAGGGTTCAGGGCCACACAACTGCCTGAAGAGCCTCCTTCAGGCTCTGGGCCTCCCTCTCCTCTCTGAGCCATGCACCACACCAGGTGGGCTTCTCACCTGAGGAAGCCGGGAATCCCAAGGCGGTACTGGACTGTGACCACCACCACGTCCCCGAAGGCGGCCAGGGCTGACCCATCCTGGGAGGTGGCAGCACCAGTCATAAATGCACCTCCATGGACCCACACCATGACCTGCAGAGATGGCCATGTGATCGTGAACCTGGGTCCCCAGACCCCAGCTCCCTATCCACCAGTCTAAGACATGTCTAGAGATTTGGGGCAGGCTGGGGCCAGGGGTAGCCAGGGGCCTGTGCCACTTGGGCTGAGCAGGCTGGTGGACGGGCCCTGGGTCTGCTCACCGGCCTCCCGGGCCCTGCAGCGGCCCCAGCTGGGCGGTAGATGTTGAGCAGCAGGCAGTCCTCGGAAATGGAGAAGACCCGGTGCTTTCCGTTCAGCAGGAACCTGGAGTTGTTCATTTTCTCCACATCCTGCAGACACCTGGGCCCAGAGGAGCCCGCGGGCAGCTGGTCAGCCAAGCAGCTGGACTCTCTAGCTGGCCTGCCTGCCCTCCTTGCCCAGGTACTCACATCGGGGGCTCCCTGCTGACATCCCGCACGCCTTCCCAGGGCTGCACTGGGCGTGGGGCAGAGAACCGGCCGGGTCCCACTGGAGCTTGAGCATATGGGATGCCCAGGAAGACATCCACGAGGCGGGTAACGCCCTTCACAGCCACCTGCCGGCCTCGCACTCGACCCTGGGTGGTGAGCACTTCAGGCTGAGGGTCTCCGGGATCTGAGGACAGGGCAGTGGACCTGGGTGAGTGTGTGGCTTTGTCAAGAGGTGAGCAACAGGTGGTCTCCATCCACGCAGCACTCCTAGGGCCTGCGGCGTCCAGCCCTGTAGCCTCACCTGCCTGGCTGCCTTGTAAGACAGGCTCATGGCCCCCTGCCTGTCTTGGCCTCACTGGACGGCCCTGCAGACCAAACCTAAGGGGAGGAACCAGGCTCTCCTGGCCCCGAGTGCAGCTATGTGGCCTTGGCTCGGCCACTGCCCTCTCTGAACAGCAAGTTTCTCTTTGGAGAGCTGGGGCCCATCTTGGCTAGGCTGCTGTGAGGATAAATGAGGTGGGCATGGCAAAGTACCCCCCCCCTCCAGTAGAGGATGCACCCCTTCATTGATGAGCCCTTTCCTGAGCTGGCGTCCCACCCTGCTGTGTCCCCACCACACCCATATCCCCTTCTCCCAGGGGCTCCCACCAGCCAGAAGCTCAGACCTGACAGGTGTGGCTTATCTGCAGCCATGGTGGGGAGTGCCAGCAGCAGACAGGCCACCCAGACCGGGGCCTTCACCCGCACTCTGACTGTAATCTCCATGCTCCGGCTCTCCCCAGGCGGTGTCAGAATGGCCGGTGCAGTGAGATTGCTCTTCAGTCTCTGGGCTCTAGAGGGGACTCTTGTGAAAGGCTGGCACGCCCATCTGGCTTGAGCCCAGTCCTACTCAGGGGAGGCGAGGTTGGGCACAGAGCCCAACTCGTGTGGATGGCAGGTGCCCTGGCACATGGAAGAGCCAGTCCTCTGCAGGCCTGGATGCAAACCCCAGCTGTCCTGCCAGCGATTCTGTGTTCCTGGTCACACACCACAAGATGCCCATATCGCCGACCTAAGCCAAGGGTCACTGATGGCCCTGGAATAAGGCTCAATGTCAACCAGCCTGCCGGGGGCTGGGGTGCCTGCGAAGGGGTTGTTTTCACAGAACTGCTCTCCTTTGGACCAGGAAGCTCTGATCCCAGGCCCTGAGCTACAGGAGGCCCAGGGTGTGATATTGGGTGACTGTGTAGTCCCGCTCATTGGAGGAACCCTAGTGGCCCTGACACTTCCAGAGGCTTGTGAAGGACAGCAGGAAGATCCCTATGCACAACCTTGAACCCCTTACTGCTCTCAGAAGACCTGATCTAAGAGCCAGAGCCCCTGTGCTCAGCTCTGGAGCCTCTAAAGTGTTTGTGTCCCTGTTCCCTCCGAGCCCGGGGCTTCTCCTGGCATCTGTGAACAGTGGTGCTCCTGGGTGCCCTCCCACGGCTGGAGTGAGGCTCTGTGTGGACATACTGAGGGTCTGGTGGCCATGGGGCCTGATGCTGTCCCATGGAGGGGGTCTGCTTGGCTCTGGAGGGGGTTTCCCATTGACCCGAAGAACTGCTCCCGCAAGGCAGGGCAGGGCAGGGTTCTGCTGCAGGCCTCCGTGTGAGGAAGGTGGCTGGTTGGGAGTGGGGTCTGGACAGCTTAGGAGATAGTGTGGGGCTGAAGCCATTGGGAAATCTTTCCCGATTCCAGCAGTTGGAAGTGCTGGCTCAAGGTGGAACGGAGTGAGGGTCAGGCCAGGAGGAGGTGCAGACCCTTTCCACATTGCATCCAGAGTTGGAGAGATAAAGCGTAGGATAGGGTTGCTTTCTTGGCAACACAAGGATTGGGGCTCTGGTCTTGAGTTCTCTCTGGCAGTCTCCCAGGTTGGGGGTGGGGTATGGTTTCCTCTTCCTGAACTTTGGACCTCAGGACGGGAGCAGGAAGGGGCCTCCGTGTGTTCTGGCGCTGCCTCTGCACCTTTGTCCTGGCCTCCCCTACTTGCCCGTCATTTTATCTAACCGTGTCAGCTTTCATGTGGCGCTGATTCTAGACGTTGTGCAGGGTCACCCGTGGAGAACAGGTTTCCGCAGAGCCTCCAGACTAAGAACACACTAGGCAGTCCTCTTCTGAGGCATTAGTCCCCGGAAAGCTAATTATTAGAGGAAGTCTCTTTAGTAACCTGTTCTTGGCCGAGGAAACCAGCCTCCAACAACCGAAGGGTCAGTAGGCGCAACTGTACGGTGATGATCTATAAAGATCACAGTAAAGCCATAGAGAATAGGGCAGATAGGAAGGAGAATAAAATAAAGGGGCCAGACACATTTTCTGGTAGCATGCTCCCCTCTGCCCCTCTTGGTCTACGTGGAACTGGAAGGAGAGAGAGTGGCTTTACTACCTTGAGACATTTATAGGTAGCTGTAAGACATGCATATTCAGTAGTTACATGTGTCACAAGGTGGGTAGTAGCTACATTAAGGTCCCTGAACTCATAGGTGAGGAAACCTAATATCTGCATTGGGGAAAGGTATGAGGGGGCTGGATGACGTGGGAGGAGATGTCTGCTTCTGTAGGGAGATAACATCGACCATGTGCTCACTTTAGGCAGCTTTCGTAGTTACATAATCTGGTGTCAATTTGCGAGGATTAGGAGCAAAGGGGTGGAGTCTGGCCTGTCAATCAAGATATAACCACTGAGGCCGCTGTGTGGGTGTGGCCTTATCCTGAGAGTTCTGGGAACTCCTATAGTTTCTCCTTGGAGGTGGGAAACACTTCTCTCTCCTGCTGACTCCCTGAGAGACACTCTACTGACAAGACACATGGTGTTACGCCCTGGGAGCTGGAGAAGCCACCTGGATCTACCCTGATGCAACCAGAACTCTGGAACCAGAGAAGCCACGTAGAGACCCTGCCAGCGCTGACATGCTTACCACACCACTGGATCCACAAGACTTCCCACCCACTGGCCTGTGATCCTCCTGCATTCAGCATCGTTGCATGCGTTTCACGAGTCTGAAGAGGACTTGATAGATTGGTATTGGACATATGGGCTCAGATTGGACTTATGGGCTTGATCTGGACTGGGCTGAGACATTTTCTCAATATTCAATTACTCTTGTATATAAACCTCTTTCTTATATACATATGAGTATCTATGAATTTGTTTCTCTAGTCTATCCAGACTAACACAGTAGCATGGCTGTTACGGGAATGATATTTAAAGCAGGATAATGTACTTGGACTTTACCTTCACCTTACTGAAGTGGAGGCTTTCCTACCGTGGGATACCAGCTTTCCAGATTCCCTCTGTTATAAGTTAGGGAATATAGTCCTCGTCTTATTTCCCTCAGTGTTAGTTTCTCACATACTATATGCAGACAGCACAGCTCGGAGGACTGATGAAGCTCAAGGAATACAGCATTCAGTAGGGATTACAATTCAATCTCAAGAAACCAGAAACAGACAATGGGCCAACAGACAACAACATGATAAACCAAGAAAAGACTGAAGGTGTCAAGGATCCCATTTTATTTGGAGCTGCCATCAATGTCCGGGACAGCAAGCATCAAGACATCAAGCGACGCACTGTGCTGGGCAAACCAGCTGCAAAAGGGGCTCCCCTAAAAGCTGGCAAAGAGTGAAACTGTCACTTGGAGCACTGAGGCGTCCCTTAATTTTCAATGACCTCATATGTACAAGGAAGCTGCTCGATGGCTAAGGAAGACTGTGGAAGTAGTGATGCCTTTGAATCATGTTTCTGCTGGAGAACAGAAAGCAGCATGGACTCTCAGAAGAACAAATGAATCTGTCTTGGAGAAAGTACAGCCTCAGGGTGTCTTGTAAGCAAGGCTGGTAGAACTTTGTCTCACATCTGAGGGGATCCCCCTGCCCTCCCCCCGCCCCGCCCAATGGAAAAAACGAGCCACTAGGTGGAGCTTTTGTAACACACTGAGTTAGTTAATTGTGCCAGCCTGGCCAATAATCACATGTAGTGCTGGTTGAAAGGCGGAGGGATAAATGGGTGGTGAGCCTCGGCCTTTCTAGTTCTCGGGTCTCTTGCTTTGTGGTGGTTGCACCAGGATGCAGCTGCCTTAGCAGCTCCCTGTTTCAGCTTGCAAGATTGACATCCTACAAGACATCCCCAAGGAGAAGCCGCATGGGCCTATCC